AAGCGTTTTGGTGGATCCTTCACTCCGTCTACTCTCTATATTCCCTAGTTCGTTCTCTTATGGATGTTATTAACTTGTACATTTAAGTGTTAAATGCTATTATTTTAATCTCAGGCTCGGGGCTCTAGATTTTGTTTCCCAAACACCAAATTGCCCTGAGGAGACTCTGACCAGAGAATATTTGCAAACTGGATATAGGGATACAGTTGAGGGACTTGAGGTATGTCATTAAGTTTTTCTCATGCTTATACCAAAACAGATGTTGTAAAGTAGCTACTGCCTACTTAGCTGATGAGTGAAATGCTTAACCAGCTTTTACATTTTATATTAAAGCTTGAATATTTCAGGTTTAGCCATCACACTCTTGCTTGTTTTTGGTATCTTCTAACTATCAATATCTGCGCTTTTGTTTCATCTTTTATCTTACATTGCCTCGCTTCTTTTATGACTCAGGAAGCTAGAGAAATTTCACTGACTCAGGTTCCACATTTTAACAAGACAATTGTTCATAATTTCAAAGAGGTGATTTCCTTGTCTCATGTCTTCTTGAGATGCTTGAGTTCACTTTATTTATTTGTTTCTTTATTCATACTTTTGATTTGTGGCACATTATCCAATTTATATTATATTCATCGTAAGACTACATGGGCATAGGTTAACTCGTTATTTTTTCTTTCTAGGCTATTAAAAAACGTCTAAGGGCCATCAATGAATCTCGTGCTCAAAAGAGGAAGGTGATGATCTTTATTATGCATTGTTAATATTTCTGCGTTTTCGTCTAGCCTATTTGTACTTAATGCAGTCTACTTGTCTCAGTTTTTTATGAAGATATTTGATGTCAATGTTTTGCTTTGACAGGCTGGTCAAGTATATGGTCCGCCTCTTTCGGGATTACAACTTGCCAAGCCTGGTATTTTCCCTGAACTAAAGTCGTGCGGCGAGGACTTCCGGAAGAAATGGATTGAGGTATACTTCTATCTCATCCCTTCTGCTTTCTTCATTGGGTAGCTAGTAATTTCAGTAAGTTAACCCATTTAAAATTGTATTTTAGGGTTTATCTCAACCGCACAAGCGGTTACGTACTTTGGCTGACCATGTTCCGCATGGTTATAAAAGGTCATCACTTTTGGAGGTTCTTATTAGGAATAATGTTCCATTTCTAAGGGTCACATGGTTTGTAAAGGTTACATACCTGAATCAGGTTGGGATGCTTCAATGTTGGCTTATACCAATTATGCCGAGTTACTTTATATCAATTATACCAATTATGCTGAGTTACAATATGCTCATAAAATTAAAAGCATCTTGCATATATCTTTTGCCAAGTTATGATTTCATATATTTCTTTGATGCTCCAATATTTGATACTTACAGTTCCAGATACCTTTGTTTCTTTGAATTGCTTTCCTTTACCATCCACTGTAGTCTCACATACAATGAATGATGGCAGTTTTGCACTAAACTCAACTGAGGCTGCGGGAAAGATAAAGAATAGTTCTGAAGATTTTGCTCAGATTGTTTCATGTATTCAGAAACATGCAGAAGATCTTGCCAAGACTACAAGCCCTGGAAGTCCAGGTCATTGACTAGCTAAGGTAGCAAAAGCCTTGGATAAATCCCTTATGCTTGGTGATTTACATGAATCATACAAGTTTATTTTTGAAGATTTTTCTGATGAAGCTGTATCTGACACTTGGGTTGCAAAAGTGAGCCCTTGCTTAAGGTTATCTCTGAAATGGGTTGGGACTATACATACATCTCTTGTATATTCAATGTTTTTCCTCAGCGAGTGGGAAACATGTGATTTCAGGAATTTTTGCCCTATCCCTCCTAGTGACATAAAGTTCACAGGTAGGAAAGATCTTTCTCAAGTGCAAATAGCAATTAGACTTTTGAAAATGAAGCTGAGGGATTTGAAAACTTCATCAAGACTAACTAATCAAAGCATTCACAGAGCTAATTATGTTGCAAAACATGCAAGTCAGAGTTACGTAGCCACTAGTTCTTCAGTAATATCTGAAAGCCTAGGTCCTCTCCATGATATAGGCTTGATATAATTTCTATGCAGTTCTCTGGTTCAGTTTTGTTTTTTGTAGTTCAGATTTTTTGCACTTAACCTCCCTGTTGCCACAACAATTATAAAGGGAGTTGATGCACTTTAAGAGGCTGAAGTTGGATATTTAAGCTCCAATAACAAGATTTCTGAAATACTTGAATGCTTTTTTATCATACACGCGTTTCCCTTGGATTGCAACTCTATTGGTCAGCACACAAATTCTTGCTTGACCGCATATTTTACTGACTAAATTATTGTTTAGCATTATCCTATGCATTGATTCAGCTTTACAAGTTTCTGAGTTTCTTCGTAAATGACTTTTGTAGACTAAAATATATATGTAACAAGGAGGGGGTGAAAGCCAATGCCATTGCACTCACCGCTTTAGCGGAATATACAGGTTTTTTTTCTCCAAGTCTTGCAAATTTTGCAAAGAAAGGTGTCAAGAGAGATTAATATCATGCATGTGTACATGGTATATTAAAATAGAAATATGCACATGCATTTGTATTCAAACCTAAACAAGAAATACGTGGTATATTTCATTGTATTGGAACTGATACAACTACAAATGAGGTATAAAAAGAATATTGCAGGATTTCATTGTTTATTAAGAAGTCATAGCCACACATTTCTCTCCTATTTATCTAACGATGCAGGAAAATATGTTGACATTTAGTGTCAATTTGAATTGTTTTAACCTGTTGTTGCTTCCCAATCTCTTGTAGTCTGATGAATATTTTGACATTCGTAAGCTGAGATTTCATTGCTAATGTTATCTTGGCTCAACTCATGTTAAAGGTTTGTCTGTTCTGTATTCTGATTTGTTTTTCCTTTTCTGTAGGTGGCACTACAACTACTATCAGATACAGAAAGAATGATCTTGCTCAATTAGTTAGCACAATGGTGTCATATGCTATCACATATAAGAAAATGAAGTCAGATGTGCTGCCTAATACCCTGAAGTATGAAGTGAGAGATGAATTGTCTTTATCTCTTGTTCCTCCTATCAGTAACTTTTTGAACTTTAAGGTATGGACCTGGGATCATTGTCTGCGCATCTATCAAGGAAACCTTAGCCAGTTACTAATATTTATTCTGTTGTTTGCATTTATGCAGGATTATACTTCAAACCATTACGTACTTTCTTTAGCTATTCTTCTCCTTATCTAATTTAGGTTCTGGTGCATGAAGTGAGCCTTCGTAAACCTAAATATTTTATTTTAATTATATATTTTCTTTTGCTTCTTTTTAAGGATGAAATTCAAACATTTCTCTTTCATTTTTCTGTTCACTTATGATAAAAATTATAATATGTTAAATGTTTGTTGACCAATGATTGTGCCTATCACTTGTTATCTTTCTGACGGCTGTTAGTGAGATTTTTTTTATCAGTGAAGGTTAAACTGTTTCCATATTTGAAATAATAAAAATGAAATGTGAATGTATCCCATTTGCCAATACCAACAATCATGCAATTCTAGTTGATAAGAAAACCATTGAAAGTCAAGCTAAAGCTTTTACAAGGAAATCTAATGAAGCCAAACAGTTTCACCATACTTGAACCTCACTAACATGGTAAATGCAACAGACAAAGTGAAACTGCTAGATATGGGAAATAAGAAAAAACCATCAAGGATTTCCTCAAGTTTCTTCGACAGGTGATTCTTCCTCAATAATTTGTACATTATTTCTTATTTCAACCATTATCATAACTCAGTAGTTAGAACTTCTAAAATTGAAAATTAATTCCTGAATTCATTTCTGTTAAACATAAACCATGTCTTGTATTATCCACATCTTTTACTTTTGGGAACATATTGTTGGAATTTCTTCTTTAATTACGGTCCACCCCTAGTTGCCTTAATTGCGTCACTTTGGCTTGCCTTCATTGCAACCCCCTAGTGGATTGATATCCTGTTAATTCCATGAACAAGTTGAAGGGATTAAGATGTAAGTGTCACATGTTTTCTATTTTCAGATCTGCAGTCATAGGAATTTGGTTCGAGTGAGTGACACAAGCCTCTATTTGGTATTATAATAATAAGTTTTGAATTTTTTATATGTTTAAGCTGGCTAGCATTTGGGATTGTGTGGCGGACATGAGTGATTGAGATTGAATCTAAATCAAATAAGTTTGGTTGATAATACAATGTGGCGTGGTTGAGAATACAATAGGATAATTTTGGTGCATTATAGAGCCCCTAATGCCAGGGGTTAATGGCTATGAGCTGTTGGTATAACATTCATTTCTTACTTCTAAGTTTAAGCTTTTGTTCACCAAATGTTCTAAGAATATATCTAATAAATAAATTTTCGTTTTTGTCTTGTGTTTTATTGTTGAAGCCACTGAACTCTGTTGAAGCCATCTATCTATGTCAATTTGGTTAATATGAAGGTAAATGGGACACTTTTACTGATTCTATATAACATATACGAACTTGTATTCTTAGTTTAATATGCTTTCACTGATTTTTATGTTGCATGCACATTTAATAAAGTGATCTTTAATAAACAAGTTTTTGTTTCAGATGATGATTATGATGCATTGAAAACTCATCCCGATGATCGGATAAACTCTTAAGACAATGGAGGGATAAGTGGAGAAGAGGAACATATTTTCAGAAATATTCTTTCCAGAGTTGGATTCCATTTAACTTATGGAGATAATACTTCCAAATCATAAGTTACTTTAAGAGAGAAACTTTTGGTAGATGCTGGTGCAATTGTTGGGTTTCTTATTGGACTTTGGGGTTATCTTAATTATCCGACAAAAGTAAATCGTTTGCTTCTTCCTACGAAGCTTGCTGGTAGTTCTGATGGGAAAAAGGCCACCAAGGCTAATAAGTCCTCCAAGAGTTTGATGAAGTTGCTGATGGGAGTTAAAGTCTTACAGCAAGCAATTATTGATGTACTCTAGGCAGCTGCAGCATCATTGTAGAAAATGTTAACATTGGAAGGAGATATAGAAGATGATATACCTATTGAGGTCACTGGAGATGTTTTAAGGATTCGGAAGATTCTCACAAATTTAGTCAGGTACTTTGATTTATGTGATTGGGAATCTCTCGAGTTAGTACCAACTTTTATTTGTGCTTCCTTCTCCTCCACTTAGTATTGCATTTCTGATTATGTTTTTTTATTTTGCAGCAATGTTATCAAGTTTACACATCAAGGCAAAGTTGGTATAAAACTTTATGTTGTTCCAGAGCCACCATTTACCAAATCAGAAGAATTCCATCAAACGGCGACAAAAGACCAGTCAACTGTTTCTTCAAATGTATTGAAAGAAGAGAAACATAAATCATCATCAAGAAGTACTATATGTGATCAAAATATTATTGATGGTAAAAAAACACATTGGCCAACCAATCCAAAATCAAGCATTTAGCAATGAATGTAGTAGATCTTCAGTCAATGATGAATGCTCAATGAGCAATGATACTGAGGAGAAAACTCATTCAACCGAAACAACGGTATGGATACGTTGCAATGTAGTTGACACAGGAATTGGCATACCAGGTATGTATTAGTGTTCCTTCCTTTTGTTTTTGAATTAATTATATTTTGTATTCATATAGTTAAGTTTGATTTTTGCTTACGAAATATACTTATTTTTTCGTGATGCTATAATGTGACACAAAAAAGGCTATACCTACTTTATTTAGAAGAGGTACATGCAAGTCAGTGCAGACCATACTCACAGACTCGTTGTTGTTGCGGTCACTTTGCTCATAGTCTTGTTTCTTCCATTGATAACCTGCTCAACTGTCTCATTTCTTCAATTAGTGTGTTTCCAAGTGTGCCTCCCACCGCCATAGTCAAGCCACTCATATAGTTCGCTCTAGTGTTCCTCACACAATTTCAAGAATCAGTGCTCTACCCTTGTTCGTTCGTCACTTGGTCAATGGATTGGTAAGATTGTAAACAAATGCACTTGGCCAGGACCTTTCATTACTGCGAATAAATATCTGTATAAGAAATGTTGCACTACATTTTTGTTTTATACACTAAGTCGTATTTATTCACAATGGAAGTTCGTGAGGGGAATGATGATGATGTAACTTGTCTTTTCAAAATTTTATCATGATGAATTTAAACATGGTCTTGACCTTATGTGGATCTTAATAGTTATTTTTAATAAAATTATAATTTTTCATGGTATTGTGTATTGTCAAAATTGAATAATTGTAATAGTATTGATAGTCTACAGGATATAATGTAGCAACATTTAATTTTTTTTTGTAAAAACTAATATAATTATGGCGGTTAAAACCGTCACAATTTCTAATTTAATATATGTTATATAATTATGGCGGTTAAAACCGTCACTATTTTTAATTAAATATATATTATACACTTGTGGCGGTTAAAACCGTCGTAATAATATATTAGAGGCAGTTTCAAAACCGTCGTGGAATATTACGGCAGTTGGAGCGACAGTTTTACAAACTGTCACAAAAAAGCCTCACGACACACGTTTCTACGACCGAAGTGGAACCGTTGTGACTTGCGAATTGTGTCGGTTAAAACCGTCATAACATACCTAAATTAACCGTCGTAATTTACAATTTTTCTTGTAGTGATACCTCATCAGTATGCGCATGTCAAAGAGATTTATTAGGAACAAAGTACAGATTTAATTGGATTTCATAAAAAGGATCTTTGAGACTTTTTAGGAATCTATAAAGTATTTGTTTCTACTATTATGAAGATTCTGTAAAAGATTTGGAATCTAATTGATTGGCTACATTTTGTGGTAAAACATTGTTATGTGTGTAGATGTCTTGACTGGTGTCATGACATACTTGTGTAGTGTTCTGCAGGATATGTTTGGTTAGCTAATACAGAGTTTATTGGATGTCAAGTTGAATATTGTGACATCAGTATTGTTGCATCACTGTGAAGAGGGGCCGGCAAGGACAGAAGAGTCACCACTGTTCGTTATTTATCCCAAAAGAGGGAAAGGAAACGATCAAAGAAAACCTAACGAAAAGGGAAAAGACAGGTCATCGCAACCATATCTCGGGTTCGAGAGTCGGTTACGCAAGGGGAAGGTATTAGCACCCCTCACGTCCAACGTACTCAACGGAATCCACGCTTTGTTGTCTATCTAAAAAAGGGTGTTTACTATCTAAGCTACGACTTAGGGAAAAAAGAAAAGAAAAGAGACTCGATAGAGCATCTCCGCTCTATGCCTACGTATTCCCTCGTGCAATGGGAAAGCCAGAGTCAACGTAGTTCAGCTAACTACGGGTGAAAGGGGGGAGATTGCTTGCAGAGACATCGCCATCTCGTGCCTACGTATTCTCATCTAGTATGAGAAATCAGAGAAAACGTAGTTCGGGCTAACAAGAACACCGGTTGGTTCAAAATGTTTTACACGAGTAGGGTTAAAACTTAGTTCTAGCAGTTAGGTGTATGCAACTCGACCATTGAAGACTTAGTCGTTACATGTTTGCGGTAGAACCAAGAGTTAACAAAAATCTCCTTATGAAAAAGGTTTTCCAAATTAAGATCCCGAAGAATAAAAAGGTTTGAAGTTTGTTTTTGTGTTTTTTAGAGAAGAAGTGCATTGAATATTGTTTGTAATTCATGTTGCACTAAAGACTACGACTTAGGAACGAATGCGTTGCATATCGTCCTAAGGACGTACACTAAACACTCTAAGAAATTGAGAGGAAGCCCCCCAATCACCATTTCCCAAGTACTTAAGGTTCGTAACTTACAAAAATCCTTAGCATTTATTATGTGTTTTGAAAGTGTTTTTAGATGAGAAGAGAGACGCACGGAAGGTCTAAGGGAAACTCGGCCCTAACGTTGTCATGAAAAATGGTCCTAAAGTTGGGATGAAGAGGGAAAGCTACCCTAATGTTTTCATGCATGGTTTCAATCCTAATGTCTATCATAATCCATCTTGAACAAGAAGGATTAGAGGTCCTAAGGGAACATGACCAAGGAAGATAAAAGAAGAAGAAGAAAGCATAAGAAAAAATGCAATATGCAAACATGTAATGCACAATTAGAATGAAAGTGATGGACGAACAAAGTATGGGGTAAACACCACCACAAGCACATCTCAACCTCAAGCATGCAAATGAGAGATCCAAGAACCAAAAGAAAATGCACACAAAAGCAAACAAAATGAGCTCAAACAAGTTCAACCCAAAAGTGAGATGCAATGGGAGAAGTCATGACCCCTACAACCATTCAAGCATCAATCACCGAAGAAATGCGGGAGGAAAAAGTGTGGGACAACAGCCACCACAAGCGCATCTCAACCGAATCATTCTTCAAACTCATGCAAAGACCAATGATAAACATCACTTTGAACAACATATACAAGAGTATGCATTCAAGTGGAAAACGAACACGCGCGTGTCGGCGAAAACATGATTAAACAATCAAGAACCGCGAATATATCTAAATCATCTCACTCCTAATGCCTCATACTGATCCATGAGAATTTAAAGTGAAACGACATCAAAACAAGCATGAAAAAGGGCAAAACAGACCTGTTGGGACAATGTTAATCGATTAACACCAGGGGTTAATCGATTAACCAGTCAAAAATGCCTGAAATTTTGAAAATTCATGTTGGTTAATTGGTTAACCAATTGGTAAATCGGTTAACACTGTGCCAGAAGCAGAAAAACAACAAGATAACAACATTTTCAGCACATAAGCACTTATCCAATGATCTGGATTATCACATAATCAATTATGCACGAATTTAAACCAGAAAACAGTGATCCAATCAACATGTAAACACATTAAACCAGCAAGATCACAGATCATATGAATCAAATTAGCAAAATCAATCGAAAATGAATATCCACGTGAGAATTCTGCAAATAAGCTCAAAATCAAAATCGGATCATGAATTCCAACCTACGAAGCAGATAATTGCTTCGGTAATTGTTGATTTACTCCAATTAAGTAGATCCAAGCAAGAAACCCAGAGATTCGTCAAGATCCAAGTGTGTTTTGGTTGTAGGAGTGAAGATCCGCCACAATTAAGCCAAAATAGTCCAAATAAGCTCCTTCAAAGCAACTTCAAAATTCAGATCCAAACTTGCACGAAAATTGGATGAAGAAATTGATTCAAGGAGGATGATGGATGAAGGTTTGAGCTCAAGAATTCATTGATTACAATGGAGAATCAATGAATTCAATCAAAGAGAGCTTTGGTGAAGTTTTGGGAATGGAGAAGTTGAGAAAAAATTGAGAGAGTGAGAATGAATTCTGAAATGAAATGGAAATTATGAGGATTCAATGTGTGAGGTTTGGAGAAAATCAATTAAATACCCCTTAGGCTTGGATCCAAATGAGACTTGGAGAGTGGTTTGTGAAAATTTCTTTGGAATGAGGAGTGGAAATTTTGGAGGGAATTTGAAATGATTTGAAAGTTAACCAAAATTCAAAATGGTTCTAGATCCTTCTCTTGGTGTAAAATAAACTCACAAGTGATCAAAATTGGACCCCAAAGTGACTTCACTTGAAAAATCACGTGCAGAGCTAAAATTTGCACTGGTTAAGCGGTTAACCATATGGTTAATCGATTAACACCCTCAAAACTTCAAAGTTGACCTAATTTTGACTTGGTTAATTGGTTAACACCTTCAAAATTTGAATTTTGGCGCCTTTTAGAGGGAAATCTGCATATTTTCCCGTTTTCAACCGTTTCAAGCCCTGTTCAGCCTCTGAAACTTGCTCTCGAATACTGTAACTGTGAGAATGCTTGAGATAACTTGACTGCTGCCTCTTAAGTTGAAAATAACCTGCAAGATAAAATAAAATCGACTGCTCAATCGTTGGAGAAAACAAACGTTGGAGCCTCCAACGCTCGCTGTCTAGTCTCTCGCACCAAAGAAAAACCCTGAGCCACATGAAAACCTTGATCCCCTATCTCAAGAACAAATGCTATGTTATCCAACAATGAAAAATGAAAAGAATACATAAGCCAAGTACAAGAAAAGGTTGGGCAAATTTTGTGGTACAACAGCTGCCCCTATTCAAGCGACTTGGACCTTAATGAATGAAAAGCGAACGACTTTCAAACAAACAAGGTAAAAGACGGTTGAATACCAAAGAACCCGGAAATTCGCGAACTGCAAAAATAAACTGCAAACTCTGATTGGGGATAAAAATCTCCGGAATTAAATGAACTGATAGTTGAAATGGTAACAAGCGAACTGATTACCAAACTTTCGACGCGCTGTCGGAAGAGACATCTACCAATGAGCAGGCATTCGCTAAATAAAAGCGAGCATCGAACCCAAAGGTCGGATCAACCGAAGCTGATAAACATATCTTGAGAATACTCCGTTGGGTAAGAGAGAAGCTTAACCAAGTAACTCTGGCAGGGAGAAAGAGTGAAATTTAACCAAA